TCCTGTTGTCGGTACACATAAACAAAATAATAATTAGTTCTACAAAGAGGAGAATAAAGATGACAACAACGAGGATTAGAGAACCAATCAGAGGAAAGTTAGAGCACTTGGCTATATCTAGGGATGTGCACATCTCTCACTGAAGTATTTCAAACGTTTGTACTTTAGTTTCTCTCCTCCCCCCACCCCACCCCCCATAAGAATAGATCGTAAGACAACAAAAAAGTCCTCTGTCCTGTTAACATGGCGTGCAACTCTGCTTTCCCCAACCGTCTCCCATTCTTCTCCCACTCTCCAATGGTGCCACTTATTTACCTGAAATCCCCATCAACATAAGTTAGATCAATTAGGAGGCAGACATCTGACCCTGCCTGTCAGGGCCAACCCGGGCTGGGAAGGATAGAACATCCCAGCAGAAAGACCGAGCGAGATATCAAGATACTCTATACAAATTTCTCCCCACTAAGAAATCACTCGGGTCTCCTGCATGTGTCTAATAAATGCCAAACCCCAACACCACAGACTCTCTAAAGTAGATGTGACAATTTTCTCTATACTTTCTCTACAATAGAGCACCTCCTTTATACCTATCTATTAGCCAAAGATAAAAGCTTTGCCACGACAAAACCTTAACAATTACCCACAGGAGCCACAGTTAAAATGACATTGATATATTTTGATATCTAGTAAGGTGCTTACTTTTTAAAATGTTTTTTCAGTTACTCAGGGTTGGAACATTTGGCACTTGTGAGTGAATGAGAATAATCAGCAACAGGACGAAACATCACCACTTTTTTTGCTGCCATTACCAAAAACAAAGTTAAATTTTGAGCAAATATCTTGAGAACGCACAACCATAAATATCCACACTAGAAATCTGATTGGACCTTCAGTTACCAAGCAATATGACACCTTTTGTTAACATCTAGATTTGCATGTATGTACGTACCACAGAATACAGAAAACTTCTTCAAAGTGTATCGAGTTGTAAAGGTATTGAATCAACATCTACATTACGTATTAGATTTATTACTACGCGATTTGTATTAGACAATAACTTGTTATATAACCTAAAACAGGCATACATTACAGAAACAATGAAGTCTGCATAAACTGAACAACTTAAAAACAGCTATAACTTTACTGAAAGAAAATAAATCCCCTATTTATTTTTTCTTGTATTAAGCAACTTCACAGAACCAAAAATATGGCTAAACCGAAGAAAATCCAGCAATCCTGTAGGTTTCAGTTTAAGCAGACTCAACTGTAAATATCTAAACGGTTAGTCGACGGGTTCTTTAAAATACAAGAATTCTTTTTTTAAATCTCTTCAATGTACAGAGCCGGTTAGTAGCTGACTAAACAGGGACCAGGTTATTGTGCTGCGCAAACTCACTCAGGATACACCTACTCCCATTGTAGTAATCAGAAAAGGGGCATTCACAAACTGAGTCCATAACTGAGCACTCAAGACCTTGTGCACACTGGTCAGCCGTGCTCAGATCACATGAGTCACTGTACTGACCCTCTGTGGATAACCGCATCAGTTGTGTATTGAGTTGTGAAAAGTGAAAAGGTAAAAACAGCAGGGGAACAAAAGTACACACGTGATTTAAAGTATGGCATAATTAGGTGGCAGATAGCTAAAAACATGAGATAACAATACTTTAACACTCAGGCACATTAAATAATTTGTCTCATACAGAAGCCACTACCCACTGAAAAAATAAATCTGATATGTAAGATACTTTAGAATTTACGGCTTAGGAGTATGTAAGGCGGCTTGAAGGATTCTTTCAGCCCTGCTACTGAGTACATTTCTTGATCCTTGGACACAATTTCTGAACAAATCAAAACATAGAAATATAAGAATAAAAAATGACTTTGGTAAAACAAATTCAACATGCTTTTTTATATTATTTTTTTTATAGTAGAGGGTTTTACGGCGCTCGCAACTGCATAAGGTCATATGAGCGCCAAGGGGTGGGTGTCAACAGAGAAGTCTTTACAGGGAATCAGACTTAGACTGCTCACCTCTCTAGCTTCAACAGCACAAGGTCTGCTTCGACTATCATTATATCAAGGCACCCCAAAATAGCAGGTCACAAGAGAGTGACACATACAAGTCCCCCCTTTGGGAATGGCCTAAAGACACTACAGTCGGTGGCACTGCCCCGGGGGAATGCTTTTTTAGTTTTAGTACGTGTTTTACGACACATTCAACACTATCAGGTCATAATATAAGTGCCGAAGATTAGAGATGTTACAAGAGAGTAACAAACACAAAAAAGAAGAAGGAGAGAAAAGAACGACAGATGTTTGATAGGAAAGAAGAAGAAAACCACACAACAAGTTTGAAACCTCAATCTGAACTGTAGATGCTTTAGAGGAAAAGCCTTGGGAGTATATATAACAGCGAGAGGTTTTCTTTCATCTCTGTTACCGAGTACATTTCTAGATCCTTGGACACAATTTCGGAACAAATTAAAACATAGGAATGTAAGAACAAAAAACGACTTTGGTAAAACATATTCAACGTGGGTAAGAGTAGAAAATGACAACTACAAAACATGGAATCAACCTGCTGTAGAGAGAAACATGTCCTTCAAGACAATATTGGCTACATAGTATAACACAAACATTTCATGCGACGGACAGAAATAAGATAATATTGGTGAAAAATAAAATCTACTCAACAAACAAATCATGTAACACATGCACATTTTTTAACAACTGGGCTAATGTCCATCCAAAGAAATACTGGGGTATTTATTGTGACCTTGATACTCTTCTCAATTTCTTTCAGCCCTGACTATAAAAAAGGATATGGGATGGTTAATCCTGACAGTAAGATGGGAGGGCTAATCCTGACAGTAAGATGGGATGGTTAATTCTGACAGTAAGATGGGATGGTTAATTCTGACAGTAAGATGTGACGGCTAATCCTGACTATTAGATGGGATGGTTAATCCTGACAGTAAGATGGGATGGTTAATCCTGACAGTAACATCGGATGGTTAATCCTGACAGAAAGATGCCAAAGTGCAAAAACATACAAAGCTGAGCAACGTATGAAGTAAATTGTCTTTTCTTTCCAAACTTGAGAACCAAATCCACAAAACAAAACATACAGTAAAATCAAGTAAACACGTCATGTATAATTTAAGCCAAAATAGGTCAACTGACAGTTGGTGCGGCTGGAGCAGGACCAGACCTCACGATCTCAAAAAACGGAAGTCTATGAGAAAGATAAGTCATTTCGGCCGCACAGCGCAGTATGCTTTAAATTCCCAGCAGGCACAAAGGGGAAAGAAATTAGGATGGATTAGAAGGAGACACAACAGGACCACTGAACAAGCTTGGGGGAGAAGGGGGGAGGAGGGAGGAGGGAGGGGGGAATTGGTGCGGCTGGAGCAGGACCAGACCTCACGATCTCAAAAAACGGAAGTCTATGAGAAAGATAAGTCATTTCGAATTTTTCCCTTCAACACAAAAAAGAAGTGTGAGGGGGGGGGGGGGGTGTTATTCCTCATACAGGAAGTACTTATAAAGACCACCTACACAATTAGCTCATGTGTATCATAATGGGTTAAAGCCACTAAGAAAATAAACCCTTACAAGATTTAAAGAGAAATTTAAAAAAAAAATTCATTTCGAGAATCTACAAGGAACAATGAAGTCAAACGTCAGTGTTGTTATCTTTATCATGTACAGGATGTTACATACAGCAGGAACGTACATACAATAGAGATAAGATTAATGATATATCATTTCCTAATCTTCCCTTACATTTCATGTCTCATGCACACCCCTGTCCCTTAAAGACCTATTGAGTTATTAACTTTATGGGGATGTAAAATCAAAGTGATAAAAGCAAACAGACCTCTAATAATAATGATGAAAATGATGATAACAATAATAATAATAATAATAATAATAATAATAATAATAATAATAATAATAATAACAAAACTTTTAAAGAAAAAACATTTGCGAGATGGAAGGATAGCATTTGGAAACACCAAACAAATAAAAGTAAATAACACTGGGGGCGTATGCTTTAAAAACCTACTGATAGTCTTTTTGGGGATCATAAAACAGTTTGTGAAAGTGTGCAACAAAATCACAGGGTAAAAAAGGTGTTCAAAAAACACATAAACTACACACTGGGTTTCAGTTTCATTTTCAACATAGATCGAAATCTGTAATTCCAAGAAATACCAGAAGTTGTATTTATTCACAGGCTACACAGGTTAGTAAATAGAATTAATCAAATAAATTTTTTTAAACAGCTGACAGG